ATCGGTTATAATTGTAGATGTGGCGAAAATGGGAGAGAGAGAGTGGTATTTCTTCAGCTTGAGAGACAGAAAGTACCCAACTGGCCTCAGAACAAACCGAGCCACCGGCGCCGGTTACTGGAAAGCCACCGGAAAAGACAGAGAAGTTTACAGTTCTAGTAGTGGTGGTGGTGCACAGCTTCTTGGAATGAAGAAAACACTTGTTTTCTACAAAGGGAGGGCCCCACGTGGCGAGAAAACCAAGTGGGTCATGCACGAATACCGCCTCGACGGCGACTTCTCTTGCCGCCACACCTGCAAGGTACCCTCTCTTTCCGATCACCGGAATTATTATTTCCACATGCATCAATCATTCATTCTTTAATTAGGGCAAAAAATAATAATAATAATTCCAATTAATGATTGGATATAAATCCTAAATTTACATCTGCACGTGTTTGTGCTAATGTTTTGTCCTTTCGTAGGGTTGACTTTTTGTTAATATTTCTTTTATTTATTTATTTTATTGATGGAAGTGTATTGGTGACAATATTTTGTCTGCCGACTAAACAGAAAAAAATGGGGAAAAAAATTATTAGAGAATTAATTATTAATTAAATATTATATATAAGTTAAACGAGTAGTGACAACAGAGGATTTCCAGACCTGGGATTTTGAAATGATTGACACCACTGCACATTTTGTTAACGGTTAATTCATTTAAATCACATTCTGTAATACAATACATTAAAATTAATTAATAATTATTATTTTGACAGGAGGAATGGGTGATTTGCAGAATAATTCACAAAATGGGGGAGAAGAAAAGTCAAACAATGCTTCAGTCACAGCAACAAATCTCCAATAACTATTCATTGCCTCCATTGCTCGAGCCTCCAGTAATAATGCAAACCCTAAACCAAAACGACGACGCTTTTACCCAAGAATCCGACCATTTAAAAACCCTAATCAACCCACTTCTCGTTGACCACCTATTTCCGGTCAACTCACTCAACCCCATTGCCACGTCATCAGCATCTTTTGCAAACCAAGACTTCACTTACAAGGAACTCAGCTGCGCTATTACAAAGAAGTGCAAGAAAGAGGCTAATTTTGAATTCCATGATGGATTTAATAATAATAATATGAGATGGGTTGAAGAGAATAGTAACAAGTACTACCCGAACCCGTTTCTATTCGGGTCGGGTGGTGGTGGTGAAATGGGGGTCCCACTGACACCTGGAGCAACAGTGGGAGGGATTGATGATAACAATGTTACTGCCATGGATACAGCTGCTATTTATCATGTGATGTCAACAGAGCCGGCTTTCAGATGGTGGTAGTCTACAGATTTATCTATAATTATTAATTAATTATTTAAATATCTACTCTTTCATTGAAAAAATGGAAATATTATATGTAATTATTGTTGGGTCTGATTTCTATGTATATGCACAGAATCTAGTAGAGATTCTGATAAATATGTAAGTAGAGATTGCGAAACTTGGGTAGTGGCATTTATGAAGACCAAAAGAATGAGCACTAGTTTTGCTTATTTTTATATATAAAAAGTTAAATATGATGAGATAATATAACTACTACTGTATCTGTATGGTACATGAGCAAAATCTTTTGGTTTGAGCCAATAGAAAGTGGAAAGAGATATTATTATTATTATTATTAATCATGTGGTAGGAAATCAAGGGCTGGGGTGGATTTCATTTGGCAGCAGTAGTTGGGGATGTGATTGTGAGATGTGATTTTGGAGTTTGGCTTTATTATTTGAATGTGTCACGTTTCAGATGGCCCTACGATTTGCATGCAAATTGGACGGCCAAGATTAACTTGTGGGCAAGGCATCTTGAAATCCTACAAATGCATGCCTCTAGCCCTAGGTTATAGCTGCACACGTAGAGGTAAATTTGTATAAATGCTCCCACACATACAGTCATCCTCTCTCTCTAGAGAAAGAGTTGGTTGCTGTAAAAATTTATGACAAATCACTGTAAAAAAAATGTAGGGCATTCCTAGTACACTGCATCAAATATCTTCGCATATTCCTATCATTTCCTTAAAACTGTATCAATTCTCAAGTGTTTAAAATGGCTGTGGTTCCAAGATCAGATTAGTGTACGCTTAATCGGGCTAGGACCATTCATGCAAAAGCCGATATGAGACAATTCTACGTTCAGCCCACTTACAATCATTCA